CATAGTCAACTAAATTCCTACTTCACATTTCTGTGGCTCACAGCAGCCCCTTAAGCAACTGTGGTCCTAATCTGCAATTGCAACTCTGCAGCTACCAGCAGCTGTTAGGTGAAGTGGCCAAAGTCAGGCAGGAATTCTGTCCCCTCGGGCACCAGCTCTGTCACGGCTGCTGAAGGGAACTTTATCTAGATCTCTATCCTTCTATAGAATTCAGGATTCAAAGGTTGAGGTGAAATCCTGCTCACCCAGAGAGGCTGAATAGCAAGTAGCTAACCTCCTCTCCTAGCTCGTAGCTCCCCTAAAACAGGGCATCCTTCTGCTCAGCCCCCACTTAAGAACCCTAGGTACCTGTGGTTCCTCCCTACCACTTCCTGTCAGCTAGTTGCTGACTCAGCCTCCTGACCCCAAGTTAATTTTCTTTAATCAAATGAGTATAACATGTCTTTGCTTCATTAAACAAATATTCTACAGCATAAATGAATGCAATACACCTTAAATTAATATTCCACAACAATAGAGGATGGTGACAATTCTTACCCCAAAACTAAGTTTCTCTTTACATTGGAACTCATATTCCCAGACACAACTCTAGTGCTGCATGTAGCTGGATGGTTTCTTGTATCAAAGTAAACATTTAATTCATTCATTAATTAGATGGGACTGGGGATTGAATACAGTACCTTGTGCATCCCAGACAAGAACTTTACCACTGAGTCACATCTTCAAGTCCAAAGCTTACATTAGTTACTGAATTTCAGTGGGAAAAAAAAACTGTACAGGACTGTTTCTCCATCATACACACTCAGAATAATGTTTCCTCCTCAGAATGGGCTGCTGTCTAGCCTCTCCTATCTGTTTGCCTACATCTGTGGTATGGTAGCAGGTCAGCTGTCAGACTTTTTCCTGTCCAGGAAGATTTTCAGCGTACTTACTGTCCGGAAACTCTTCACCACACTAGGTAAGGAACATCCAGGGCAGATGAATGCTTGGGGAGTCCTTTGGCTCTGTGTTCAGAAGCACTTAACTCTATGGTCCGGATCATTCTGCAGGGATTTTCTGTCCTGTGATCTTCATCATGTGCCTGCTCTACCTGAGCTTCGACTTCTACAGCACCATCATTTTCCTGATTTTTGCCAATTCGACGCTCAGCTTTTCCTTTGGTGGCTGCTTAATCAATGCCTTGGATATTGCTCCCAGGTAGGGCTCTCTTAAAATGTATTTATTTTTGCATTAATAAATAAAATTGCATGCATTTATTGTATACAGCATGATGTTTTGAAATGTATACATTGTAGGATGATTAAATGGAGTTAAGTAATAATATATATATATATATATATATAATAGAATTCATTTCTTTTGTAATGAAAATGCTTAAAATCTATCATGGTAACTGTTTTCAAGAATACAAAAGCAGTCACTGTCTTTTGATAAGTCTCTTGAACTTATCATTGAAATTTTATATCTTTCAGTCAGCATCTTCCTAAACATCTCTCTTCACCCCTAGACTCTGATAATACCCTTTCTATTCTCTACTCTAATGAAGTTACCTTCTTTATATTCCACATGTCCATGACATTGTGTGCCATTTGTTTGTGACCGCTTCTTTCACTCAGCATTATATCTTCCAGGGTCATCCATATTGTTAAAAATGACAGGATTTCTTTTTTTAAAGGAAATAGCATTCTATTTTGTGTGTGTGGACACTAGCTTTTTCTGTGTCTTATCTAGGTGGATAATGTTATAATAAACATACCACTTCAGATGTCTAACATATCGACTCAGTCTCTTTCTAATGTGTGCTTAGCAGCCATAGCTCTAGGAAATATGGTGAGGCTCCTTTATACTGTTTCTCTAGTAGCTGCACTAATTCAGTTTTCTACCTCTTACCAACACCTCTCTCGTTTTTTTTACAGCCATCCTAACATACAAGGTAATGTCTCACTATGTTTTGAATCTGCATTTCTTTGATGATTGGTGATGTTAAACAATTTTCTTATATATTTGTTGACAATTGAGGTCTTTTTTGAAAAGTATCCATTTGGGTTCTTTGCCCATGTTGATTTAGGTTGTGTTTCTGACATATTTCTGATAGTCATCCTCTATCAAATGTGTAGTTTACAAATTTCCTGTTGCCTATGCTACTTCACTAGACTGACTGTTTCCCTGACTTTGCAGAAAAGTGGTAGTTTGAAGGAATTCCATTCTTCTCCTTTTGCTTTTGTTGCTTGTGATTTTTTTTTCAGTCATATAAAAAAAATCATTGTCCAACCAAAGTCTTGGAGTTTCCCACAGTGCTTCTTTGTCATGACTTTATAGTTTCAGGCCTTCAGTTACTTTTGGGTTGATGCACTATATATTGTCTGAAAGAAAGGTACAATTCTGTTTTCTTCTGTGGGTAGACTTACATTGGTTTCAATACTATTTACTGCCCATTTTCTGTTCTCGGCAACTTTGTTAAAAATTAATCCTGCCATAAATACCTAGGCTTATCTCTTGGCTCTGTATTTTGCTTTGTTGCTTTGACGTCGTCAGCCCAGGTCCCTTTGGCTGCTGTACCTTCGAGGTATATTTTGAGGGCAAGTAGGGTGAGACATCCTACTTTGTTATTTGTTCTTGGGATTGCCTATCTTTGTGAGGCCATATACAGTTTAATAATTTGTTTTCTATTTCTGTGAAAAGTGTCATTTGGATTTTCACAGGGCATGGATAGAGTGTTTAGATCACTTTAAGAAACATAGATATTTTACCAGTTTTAATTCTTCTGATCCTTTGCATGTCTTCAGTTCATCAATGCCCTATAGATTTAGAAGTACAGATCATTCCATTCCTTGGTTAAATTTATTCTTAACTACTTTATTTTCCAGTTCTTTTAAAAGTAATTATTGTAATTTTTCTTAGTTTGTTATTGAGTAATAATTTTAAAATACCATTCTTTCTGGTATGGTGGTATATACTCTAATTTCAGTTCTGGATGTTAAGGCAGAAGAAGCAGGAATTCAAATTCAGTCTCAGCTATCTAGAAAATTTCAGGTTACTCTGGGCTATATAAGACCCTATTTCAAAATGCCCAAAAAAGAAAAGGTATTTTTAAAAATACCTTCTTTTTCTTTATTGAATCCTAATTTCAGGGGCACCTTAGGATTTCAAATATTATGACACTCACAGGCATAAGAGTGACAGTTCTGAGGGAAAATCATGTATGTCAAATATAAATAATGATGTGAATAGTTGCACATATAGACTGTACACCTATTACAGACCTATAGAGAATAGCCCAGAGATGGCAAGTGCCTATTTTAAAGTCATATTATTGCATTATTGGTCTAGATGGCCATTGACCTCAAACAAACCTTTGTGTTGATATCCTCATCTATGATCTGGAGAAAAAGGAGAATGCTTAGCTTGTGAGTTGTTAAGAGTATTAAGGAAGCATGTGTTTGGCACATATTTGTAACCCGGCACTCAGGAGGCAGAAGAAGGAGGATTGCAAGACAGAGGCCACCTGGGAGAGTCTCTGACACACAGAGAGAAAATGAAATAATAAAAGAGTCCTGAACAATTCAGTATAGATAAAATGTGCGCAGTAGTGCTTTGGATGTAGCAAATGTCATTGGGACTGTCTATTTCATCGTTCCTGCTATTATGTGCAAGTTTAGATGTTAATTTCTTAACAAACTATACTTATTTATTACCAAGGAGATTTATGTTCAAATACTTAATTATGACCACTGGTTTGGAATTTGTGTTAGTCAGCTCTCTATTACTATAAAAAAAACTTGAAGTAAACCTATTTATAATGAGAAAGGGTTAATTTTGAGTCATAGTTTAGGAGGCTTTAGTCCTTTATGAGTTAGCTCCATCGTTTTGGGTCCATAGGGAGGCAGGTCATTGTGGCAAGAGTTCATGTGAAGCAAAACTACTCATCTTCCTATCTGGGACACAAAAGAAGGGTCAGGAACAGAAAGACTACATCTCCTTTGAGGGCATATCCCCTCAATAACCTAAAGACCTTCCAACAGGTCACCCTTCCATCATCTCCTGTAGTATCAGCCTAGCAACCAAGCTGGGAGCAACCAAGCCCCTGGCAACCAAACCTCTAGAACATACATACAAACCACAGCAGGATCCTACAGAAGATTTTAGTGCATACTTTCTTAGCATGAAAACTGCTTCTTACTATCATATGTCTGTCCTTTGAGAGATTGGTGTGACTAACAGAAACAGCTCTGTAATTCACGCCAGGTTAACAGACAACACTCACACTGTACTGTGGGGCTAACACTCCATGGAGAACACAGGCAAAATATTAATAGGATTATCCAAAGCAGTGACCTCTAGTGACGTAAAACAAACAAAAAAAATCATTATCATAAATTTGAAAAGAGCCTTGCCCACCAGGTTCACATAAAGTATGGGCCATAAGAAACAACAAATGTATCCATTTCATTTATTTAGTCTTGAGGCTTGCCTTTAAAAATGCCAGCAAGTATTCTAATTGCATGGAATTATAGAAAGACACAAAATTATTTGATAAAGAATGAGCAACATCAATTGCTTCTCAGCCTTTTGACTAAGTTCAAGTGTAGAAAGTCAATTAAAATGTGTTCACTTAAAGATTAAGACTATATCCACAAATAATACCTGCAAAATCTTAAGTAATTATCATGTTAGTTATCTTTTTTTCCTTTTATTTTACAATACTATTCAGTTCTACATAACAGCCACAGATTCCCTTGTTCTCCCCCTTCCTGCCCCCTCCCCTTCCCCCCAGCCCACCCCCCATTCCCACCACCTCCAGATCAAGGCCACCCCCAGGACTGAGATTGACCTGATAGACTCAGTCCAGGCAGGTCC